CCCCCCCCCCCACCCACACACAGACACACACACACACACCCACCCACCCACCCACCCACCCACCCACCCACCCACCCACCCACCCACCCACACACACACACACACAAACACTCACCAACCACGCTTTTGATTTGACGCGAGTTCCGCATAGTGTTGCGATTGATGTGGAAGTACGTGTCTGGCGTTCTGCCAGAAGAGGGAGTTCACAAATAAGGTTACTAGAACATGGATTAAACCTGCTCTCCGTGACTACCAAAACTTTTGATGACGAACTGTGCACGCCAACCGGTTGTAGATGATACTGAAGGCAACGTTGACAATATGGAACTCGATGATGCTGTACTCGAAAACATCAGACTAGACTTTTCCGTCTCAATTGGCGGAAGATGGTCTTGGTGTCGGCTGCGACGACGGAATTGATTTTCGGCAACGTTCATCGACATGAACAGGCTGGACGTTGATTCGGTTGAAACTGGCTGTTTGTGGATGAGGTCTTTACTGGTGAAGTGTGTAGCCTTGTCTGGCCGAAACGCGTCGCCTTGTGTATGCAATGCAATTTAGATTTTAATGTGGATGTTGTTGAGGTCCCCATGAGGATGCCGGCGTCGGGCAAGATGGTATAACCCGACATTTACCGGTTCGGATGTGGTAGCTGCCAGGCGATCACGCAGACCGCACATTTGGGTTGGTACGTAAGAAGGTTATGGAAAATCGTTCCGACGGTCGCCTTCTCTCAAATGACCTTCGTGGGATACAAATCCAGCCATCGACGCTTGCGGTCTGTGGTAGGCTGGCTGCATTGACACTCTTCAGCGTTTTCTTTCGTCGGCAGGCCTTGGTAGTCGTGGTTATCGATGGGCTGCCCAACGAGTCGCCAGTGGTATCTCCATGCACAGTATGTGTGTGCATATACATATATATACATACACACACTTTTATTTATACATACACAGTATACATATACATATATGTCTACATATACATATATGTTTGCATATGCATATATGTATACATATACAAATACAAATACAAGCATACATAAACATATACATGTACATGCACATGTACATATACATGTACATGTACATGTACATATACATTTACATACACATACCGGATACCAATAGCCCACATCGCAATCATGTTGACAGAGAACACAGCAACGAGTGCGAACCACATACAGCTTGAGGTTTTTTTGTGCCTGAAGGCATCGCGTTCAAGTACACATCGCTGGACAATCGATGCGGCCCCACCATGTCGTAGCTTGTAGCCTCATGTGCCTGATGTCCGTGCTTGTGACATTCAATGTGACTGATGCTGACTAGCCATAGATCCCGTGTTTTACACCACACACGGATACATGTGCACACACGCACAGAGACAAAAAAGGAAAGATGTCTAATGATCATATGCAGAACAATCATTTCACACGAGTATAGATACGAATGGTGATATTGGGAATGGTAATGCTAATACTTTGGCAATGGCATGCAGTGGTAATGGTGCTGGTGATAGCCAAGCTATGGTCATGATGATGGTACTGGTAACGATCGCAAAAACGACAATGAGACAGTAACTATAATGACAATGGTAACGATGATGATAATGACGATGACGATGATTTTTGTTGATGGTTATGATGACATTAAACAACATGATACGTTCGCGCAAACGATGGAATTAATGAACATGTTCGTCGCCACTATCATGCCTAAGATAGTGGTAATGATCGTGATAGTGATATAATGTTCAGTGTCATGATAATAATAGCAGTCGGGTTCATGTTGATGATGTTGGGCATCATCGCAATACCGAAGCAAAAGCACTGCAAAAGATTAATAAGACAGCATACAGGCGGACAGACACCGAGAAATGCAGACAGGAGTAAAGAGAGGCAACGAGAGACAGGAAGATATGGACACACATAGCAGACATGCAATTGTCAAGTGCAGGCATGCATGAAACCCAGCATTGCATCTGAACTGGGTGTAACAAGAGACAAGAGGAGACGTCGTGTGCGCACTCAGGGTTCAGGTCTGCTGCTACGGGTTAAAGGTCGATTGAAGGTTCAGCATTGCCGGGCAACTACATGTATGTCACAATATATGTATGCATTCATGTATGTATGCATGTGTGTATGTCTGTTTATATGTAAGCCTGTGTATGTGTTTACATGTGTATACGTGTATGCATATGAATATATGTGCGTGTGTAGTGTAGGTATGTAAGTATATGTGTACATATGCATATACATATGGATATACATATACATACATACATACCTACCTACATACATACATACATACATACATATATGTATACATTATATACGGACGTATGCAACATGTTTACACCTTGCAAGATCAGCAGCATGCATTCCATTGATGAGGTTGTCGAAATCGGCCGCCGGTATGTACTTTGTCTTCTCGACCTTTCGCCACGAAAGGCTTGTTCGCTTGGGCTGCTTCGGTGCCCATGAAAACTGCACATTTCTCATGTCTTGGACTCCACCTTCCCAGCGTCATAACCCCGCAGCTTTCACGTAACAGCTCAAGACCAGAAGCCAAGAGCCAAGTTCGAGACTCTGAAGCCTACAGCGCAATTTCCAACGCAAGAGCCGCATCACCGAAGCAACACGTCTAATCTGAGATAAATCTTGGACAGCACTATCAAAAGGGAGGCCTTTCAGAATAGACCCAGGCGGGTCATGGGAACACCCAGATTCTACAGGTGCTGCACTGTCCTAGAGGTGGGATGTCGTGTGGGGGTTCTCAAAGCATTTAGGGTCTCCAAGGGGTTCTCCATTTCATCATCATCGTCACTGTCAATGTCACCGTGGCCATCAACATTATCATCATCATCATTGTCATCGTCATCATGTTTATGAATTGTTGCACCTTCATCTTGACTCATCTTCATCGTCTTCATCATCATCATCA